CACGGTGAAACCCCCTCTCTACTAAAAATACAAAAATTTGCCTGGCATGGTGGTGGATGCCTGTAATCCCAGCTACTCCGGAGGCTGAGGCGAATTGCCTGAACGCTGGAGGCACAGATTGCAGTGAGCCGAGATCATGCCCCTGTACTCCAACCTGAGAGACACAGCAAGACTCTGTCTCAAAAAACAATAATAATTACACATAAATTAAGTAAATATTATAAGCAATATACCAAGATGTTAACAGTGGTTCCTTTTGAGTGATGAGAAAATGGACAATAGTAATTTATTTTTTACTTTTGTCCAGGTTTTTAATTTGCAACATAAAAAATGAGGTATTAATGAATTACTTGTTCACCAGTCTACTAATCATGAATTTAGCATGCATTAAACATACGTACTTTATTAATATGTATTTTTTCATAAAGTTATCCTAGGATATAAAATGGGTAATAAAGAATGCAAGTATCTCAACTTCTACAATGTTCAAAGGGAAAGTGCCAAACGTGCATGTCTTAGTAGGATCCCTAAGATAGCAATTAATGAATGATGTGGGGAATGTGGGAAATGTATTCTTGGATATAGCTTTTATCTCATTATTGTTTATTACTCGATTCTATGAAATAACCTCTATTTTATGTACTATGGCACATTTACAATATACAGCATCTGAATAAAATTATATAACTGGTTATGCTGAACTGGTAGTTTAGATATTATAAAGTAACTCATCTTGTTACCTCATAAACCATAAACCACATTAGTATCTGAGAAATTAAAAATATTTCTAAAATGTCCCACTTCAGGTATAGAATTTTACAAGATTTAGGGGGACATTATCACATCGTTTCTTGTATTAAAATAACAACAATAACAATAGAAGGCTAAACCAAAAACCTAAAAAGAAATGGTTACTAGACATAAAAGAGTAGAGAGATAGGGACTGAAGGTACACTTCTTCGAATATATAATGTTTTTTGTTTGTTTGTTTGTTTGTTTTTTGAGATGGGGTCTAACTCTGTTGCCCAGGCTGGAGTGCAGTGGCACAATCTTGGCTCACTGCAACCTCCGCCTCTCGCGTTCAAGCAATTAACCTGCCTCAGCCTCCCAAGTAGCTGGGGTTACAGGCACCCACCATCACCCCCAGCTAATTTTTGTATTTTTAGTAGAGACGGGGTTTCACTGTGTTGGCCAGGCTGGTCTCGAACTCATCACCTTGTGATCCACCCGCCCCAGCCTCCCAAAGTGCTGGGATTACAAGCATGAGCCACCATGCCCGGCCACATAATGTTTTTAATATTTGACTTTAGAACCATGTATTTTACATAATTCTAAACTTACATTTAAAAAGTGATCCCTATAACTTGAGCAAAATGAGAAAATGTATCTACCTGTGTAAGAGTTGGTAGCATAACCATACAAAGAACTTTTAAAGAGACTTTATGACACAGTAATATGACGAACATACCTAGTGTGATATGCCCTAAAGATTAAAAAAGAACAAAACTGCGAACAAAAGCTCTTAATCTGTTTCTAGTAATGATATTGTTGATAATACTGGCATCATGTATTGGGATAAAGCTAATGAATAATCATGTTGATGTCACTTGGGGTATTTCATTTGGAAAAACAGATGCAATATAGGTTAGGTTAATTAAAAACTCTGTGAGATCCTGATTTGAAAAGAAAGTTGGTATGCATTCATGATTATAAATACACACACACACACTTTTCTCAGCTCTGTCCGCTGAAAGGGTCTTGAAGCAATGAAGAACTCACTAACAATGTGTAACAATAAAGCCCAGTTTATGATCTCTAATGGTCATTTTCAATTCTAAAATTAGGGCCCCTTAAAGGCAGATTTCAGGTCAGAAGCAAAACGTATATAACGTCGACCTGAAACATTTTGTCATATCAAAAACAAGAAAAAGCCATAAAAGCCTATTGGCATAAAGTCTCAGGAGTCACTTTGAAGAGTCACCTGCTGGCCAATAATAGGTCTGAACTTCAATTAGAAGAATGCCTGCCATGGATTGAAATATAGTTGGCCCCCTGTATCCATGGGTTCTGCATCCGTAGATTTAACCCAACGTAGGTCATAAATATTTAGGAAAAAATACATCCGTGCTAAACTAATACAGACTTTTTCCCTTTGTGTTATTCCCCACACAATACAGTATAACAACTATTTACACTGCATTTATATTATATTAAGTATCATAAGTAATCTAGAGATTATTTAAAATATATGAGATGATGTGCATAGGTTATATTCAAATACCACACCATTTTACATCAGGGACTTGAGCATCCACAGGTTTTGATACCTACAGGAGGTCCTACAACCAACTCTCTATGCATACTGAGTGATGACTGTATGTCAAATGTGTTTAAATCCATGAAATCATAATAATCCTATTTTTTTAAAGTGGGTCTTATTTAAAGGTGTAATTTACCAATTCATTATTTTCAAAATTGGTACAGAGACATAATTAAGCATTTATCCCATTTTTCCTATATTAATAATGCCTTAGAATAACTAGTTGTTGAGAAAACATGAAAGAAACAGTCTAGCTACTAAACAAATAATAAATGATAAAATCAAAATAGCACTGTTTTGAAAATACTAATGAAATAATAGATGTAGAAAATGATAGTCAAAGGCTGCTAACAACTCAAAAGGAGAAACAACCACATATCATGTGTTTCCTACTAGGACAACACAACACATGTGAAGTAGTCTCGTCAAAAAAAAAAAAAAAAGAAAAAAGAAAAAAACTTCTAGATACAACTTCTAGATACAACTACCAATTAAACTTCTAATTGGTAGGATCAAACTTCTAGATACAACTACCAATTAATAGGAAATAATCGAAACAGAGAAACAAGTTAAAAGGCAATCAGCAAATTCCAGAAGGCAGTACACTCTCCTGACCTGTTTTACCAATAAACTACAAGAGAGAGAGAAAGAGAGAGTGAATTATAGATTCAGGGAGATTTAAGAAACATGCAATAGTAGGAATGTTTGTGTCCCTCCAAAATGCATGTGTTGAAGTCCTAACCCCTAAGGTTATGGTATTAGGAAGTGGGGTCTTTGGAAGATAATTAGATCATGAGAGTGCAGCTCTTATGAATGGGATCAGTGCCCCGATAAAAGGGACCTTGAAGAGCTCTCTCATTCTTTTCTGCCATGTGAGGATATAACAAGGTGACAATATGACAGTCTGTAACTTGGAAGAGGGCCTTAAACAGAACCAGACCATGCTGACACCACGATCTCAGAGTTCCAACCTTCGAAACGGTGAGAAATAAATTTCTGTTGTTTACGTCACCCAGACCATGGTACTTTCTTACAGCAGCCTGAACTAACAAAACCAATTATAATATGTGGACTTCATTATAATTCTGATTTCAACTAGTAAACTGCGTGGGGAGGAATTAGGAGGCAATGAGAAATATTTGAATGCTAACTGCATATTTAAGGTAAGGAATTATTTTATGTTGTTTTAGGTGGGAAAATGGTATGGTTATGTTTTTATTTTTTTAAATGCTTACCTTTTATACAGTGATGCTGAAATATTTACAGTTGAAATGACTAAATGTCTGGGATTTTTTTTTCAAAATAATTTGAGTGCAGAGGAAACTGGAAGGGTTGTAGATGAAACTTGGAAGTGGATGTACCTCTCTACTTTTGGAGATGCTGATAATTTTCCATATAAAAGTTCTGAAAACAGAAAATAAAATGCTCACATTGTGAGGCTAAGGTCAAAAGAAATCAGAAATGCATGAGAATTTCCATATCCAGGGTTATTTAAGAACAACATAGAGGAAAAAATTTCTGGTTTAAGTTGCAAAAATGTGTTTCTTTTATACAATATACTAACAAATCATAATTAACTGAAAAATACAACACTTTATATGTAAAGGGGAGAAAACTACTCCACCAAAGATGCCGCATTCATTTAGAGATCAAAGAAATGTGTCTGCCAGGCAACCAAGGACTCATGGGAAAGCTGTGGTTTGTGTACAAATGCTATTTGTCTAATATTTTGTGGTTAATGACTGTCCCATTAGCATCTTCACTACACTTATTTTCATAGAAAGGAGAAACATATGATTTATAGAGCCCTTTAGTGACAAGGGTGAGGATCCTATACATTATGTTGCTGGTTTCCTAGTCTTCAGCAAGAAAGTGTAGGAGAGAAGCAAAAAAAGTCCTGTTCCAACCCCTGCTCCTGGATGTGGCAAGGAAGAGGAGTTACCCAGCTTGAAACAAAAGAAATCCTAAGTCTGACACACAATGTCATGTTTAAATTCCCCTTTCTCCAAAATGTAAAATAAACGTGCTTCCATCTTCTAAAATACTATGGGACTAAACAACCTTTTGTAATGCTAAGGAAATGCCAGTATTCTCATTGATTTAGGAGAGGGATGTTCTGGTCATAGAAAGATGCTGTGTCTCAGAAACACTTAAATACTCTTAAGCTAGAAATAGAGGGGAAAATAATGCCTCCCTGTATCTCCCCTCAACTGAAGTCCTCCTTTCTTAGCCTGATTTCCGATGAAATGTCTGAATGCCTACAGTTATTTGGCCATCCTCAAAAGTGCAACTTATCCTGACGTCTCAAGGGACGGAAAAGTTACCGAAGTCCAAGGAATGAGTCACTTTGCTCAAATTTGATGAGTAATCTCAGGTGTCATGAAACCCAGTTTCAAAGGAGAGGGGAGGGGGCGTCAGATCTGCAGACGGAAGCAGGCCGCTCCCGATTGGATGGCGAGACCTCGATTTTCCTAAAATTGCGTCATTTAGAACCCAATTGGGTCCAGATGTTATGGGCATCGACGAGTTACCGTCTCGGAAACTCTCAATCACGCAAGCGAAAGGAGAGGAGGCGGCTAATTAAATATTGAGCAGAAAGTCGCGTGGGGAGAATGTCACGTGGGTTTGGAGGCTCGAGGAGGCTGGCATAAATACCGCAAGGCACTCAGCAGGCGAAAGAGCGCGCTCGGACCTCCTCCTTCCCGCAGCCACCGAGAGTGCGGAGCGACCAGCGTGCACTCGGAGGAACCAGAGGAACCCAGCACCCCGCGGGACTGTCAGTCGCAGTAAGTACCCGCGCAGTGCCGGCCGCGGCTGCCCGGGTCACTCCACCCCGCATCTGTCCGAGGTGGCCGCGCTGGGTGCGCCGCTGCGGTGAGGGACAGTGGGGAGACTGGCTTCCCAAACGCCAACGCCCCTCTTTGTCTTCCACCTGCAGAGTTTCCTGGTTTGAAGGTGTGGGTTGGTGGGTTAGAGGGCTGAGGGAGTTGGGATTCAGGGAGAAGAGGGTTGGAGAATCTTTGGAACGCGATTCTCTCGCCTAACGGGTGCAGGTGAGACTTTAGTCCTTGTATTTTTTATCTTAGTTCATCCGTTGTGGGGCAGAAAATTCTGTTGCTCTAACTCTTGGATAACCACCCCTAATATATTATTTCTCTCTTTGGTCTCTTCTCCCACTACCCCTTCCCAGAAATTCAACATGAAAATCCTCGTGGCCTTGGCAGTCTTTTTTCTCGTCTCCACTCAGCTGTTTGCAGAAGAAATAGGAGCCAATGACGATCTGAATTACTGGTCCGACTGGTCCGACAGCGACCAGATCAAGGTGAGGCCCCTTCCCAGGACAGCCCGCACCCTTCTTCCTGGGCTCGGGAGCTGTCACCTTCCCACGCAGCAGCACCCTAGTTAAAGTGGCAGGCACCGCGACCACGACGAGAGGCAGCGGATGCGTGCGGGAGGATGGAAAGGGGCGCTATTTCCCGGGTTCCTCACGGGATTTTGTGCCCACGATTCAAGTTTCTTCCCGAGGGCTGCACCGTCCAGCCCAGGAACTCCCTGCAGCAGGGATGCCCTCCCGGATGAGCCCGAGATCCCCACAAGATCATAAATCTCGTAAGATTTCATCCCCCAGGAATGGGGATTTCGGGGGCTCCGGTCCAGCTGCACTGCCCTAGCGTCTGGGCACGGGCAGAGGGCGCCTTGGTCGCGGGCAGCAGCGGGCACACGCGTGAGCTGCAGGGGGATTGGAGGGCCGGAGGCTGGAGGGAAGTTAATTTCCTGCCTTCACGTTTGTTTTGCGGACCTGAGGATGTAGCTTGAGAAACTCGTAGGCTACTGGCGCTGGGGAGCGCGCCTCGGGAAAAGGGTGAAAGTCGTCTATAAAACGTTGTCACCCTTTCCCACCGCAGCCCCAGCCCCAGATCACACACACCTGTGTGCATTTAGGGTGGTGAGGAGTCTACAAAGCCGACACCGAGACAAGACAAAGTCAGGTGGCGGCGCGGCAGATGAGGGAAGGTCCCCGGGCTGGGAGGAAAGAACGGAAAGCGCTCGAGGCTTGAAGACGCCGAGCCAGCTGCTAACTCGCCCTGGCAGGCTTGCGGGGACGGGACGCGGGTTCGGCGAGGAGGGGCGCAGAGAGGGAGCGCCTCGGGAGGTACCCCGCTCAGCCCGAGCGTGGGGAAGGCTGCCTCCCCCCGCCTCGGGGCCGGAGTACAGCGGGAAGGGCTCGGGTTGCTGGGTGCCTCGCTCCGGTTGCCTTACACGCCCTTTGTCCGTGCTTTTGTCCCCCAGGAGGAACTGCCTGAGCCCTTTGAGCATCTTCTGCAGAGAATCGCCCGGAGACCCAAGCCTCAGCAGTTCTTTGGATTAATGGGCAAACGGGATGCTGGTGAGATGGGCGACCGTCCCTAGGTGTCTTGGGCAGCCCGCCCTGCCTGCTCACTCCTTCTCGGAGTACCCCAGGGTCTCTCGCTCTGAATAGAGATTTCCACTCCAACAGGGGTGTAACCCAGGCGCGACATTGGCCCACACCGCACTAAGGCGCGCACGGGCCCGCAGGGGGAGGGAAAGATCTGGTTCGCATGCCTCACTGTATTCGAGTGAAGCGCTCCCTTGACTAAAGATCCAAACTGACAAAGGGAAGACACGGGCCTCCAGGGGTAGTACTGCGGTTGATTCAAGTGCATGTGGAACAGGATTTTGTAGCATTCCCTGAGGTGAGAGTAGATTTGTCTTGGGATAGAAATATTGTTTCCTTGAATTTATCGCACCGTCAGTGGAACATGTAATGACAATTCGTCTCTTGTCAGATTCCTCAATTGAAAAACAAGTGGCCCTGTTAAAGGCTCTTTATGGTAAACATTCCTATAAATCTTTATTTTACTATTGTGTAAAGCACATGTAGGAAAGTGAAATAAAATCTTTTATGGGCTGAAATACAAGATCTAGATGATGCCTGTTTAATAAAGAGATGTATTTGCATACTCTCTCTCGATCTCTCTGTCACTCCCTTGCTGTCACTCTCTCGCTGTCACTCTCTCTCTGTCTCTCTCTGCCACTCTCTCTCTCTTTCTCTCTCTCTCTTAATGGGTGGCCAGTCTTGAAGGTGGGAAATACTACAGTCTTATAGTCAATAAGAGGTCTCAAAAGTCTCATAGTCCTAGGTTTGAATCCCATAGAAGGCACTTAATAAAAATTCCATTTGTTTGTTTAAATATTTAGTTTTTATTATTAATAAGTTGTTTAGCATTTATGGTTCTGCCTTATTCCTCAGGATAATATATAGATAGAAAATGTTACATATTTTGATAATCAAATTATTTTATAAAAGATATAATGTAGCATCTTTAAAAACAAATGTATATGTGTTTGCTAATTTTATCTTTCTTCTAGGACATGGCCAGATCTCTCACAAAAGTAAGTTCAAAATTGTTTTGACATTTATCAAATTTAAATGTAAAATTATATTGAATTTCACTTTATTTATCTTACCTTGTTTTCTGTCATAACCCTTAGGCTTAATATGTTTAATGAAGACAATATAAGAATGGGGGAGATTCGTATTACATCCAGAATATGGTTGTTTAAACCTGTGTTGTTTAGACATATTGTACTTAGCAAAGAGGTGCATTATATTAAAAAAGAAGAAAAAAGTCTTTTAAGTCCCTTAAATTGTTAGTTTTAGATAAGAATTTCAATCCTAGGATTAGAAATCTACCATACACATTTCTTCCCACCCACCCACCCCCTAAGCTTACTTTCACTGTAAACAAACAAACAAACAAACAAACACAAAGCCCCCACAAGCATTTATAGACATCTTCTAACTCATTTTAGTATGCTTGGTCCAATAATGATGTCATTTATTAGGGTCATCCAGCAGCCAATTAAATGGAATGAGTGAGTGAATATGAGTAGAGAATCCACACTAAAAATGAAGATGGGTAGAGATGCAGTTTTTTAATCCCCTAATTGAATGGGAAAACTTGATCAGTAAAATATTTCTTAGGGCAGCAAAGATGGCAAAATTGTGGTACGTGAAGGTCATTAGATTTGTTTCTCAGTTAATGGAGCCAGAGTTGACAAGAAGTGGCAAGGGTCTATCTTCATCATATTGTTCACTCACGTACCCTGTCGTGAATTTGCTGCATTGGGTGGCAGAGCAGGCCGCGTTAACGTAGCAGCTGTATTCTCAACCATTGAAATAAAAACCAAGAGAAATTCTGTCACTGGCATTAAACTAGTAACTTTTCCGAAGAGTTCATCTTTGAAAAATAAATAAATAGTATTCATATTTACTTTCTAAGGATTTGACTTTGAAGGGAATTATATATAAAAATTCTATGTAATAAAAAATGTACTCTATTCATGTCAAAACTAATACACTTTTCTGAAAGGAGTATCTTTTAATATCCAATAAAGTAAAAACAGTGACCTTTTAGAAGATTATAATCATCAAGGAATCTGATTTTAATTAAGGTCTACTTGCTGAGAAGTACAACTTATTAATAACACAAGGAAATATGCTTGGATATTTCACTCTCACACAAATGTGAAATTGACTTCCTAAAAAATCAAAGCTAGCTCAAATGACAATATTTTATATAAAATATATTTTAGAACCTTACATAATAGATAAAATATAATATGAATAAAGAGTGCTTGCTAATATTAAATATAGAATTGAGAAAAGTACTTTCATTGTATTGTGTTAGTGTAATTTATAAAACTTTTAAGGAATCTTTATTTCTTCAGTCTCACCAAAACTTTAAGTAGAAAGATATTTATTATACAGACATATATTCAGAAGCTTGCTTTGTTCTAGTTATAATAGTTTGTTTCCTCAAAGATATACATATTAAAATACCCCTAAATGTATTTTTCCAGGGCATAAAACAGATTCCTTTGTTGGACTAATGGGCAAAAGAGCTTTAAATTCTGGTATGTATGAAATCATGACTGAAAATAGACAGTATCTCAAATCTATTTCTATTTTTTCCTAAGACATAGTTTTTAAAATATTAAAAAGGAGTAGTAGATACAAAAATGAGTATTATGGTGAAAAAATTTAATTGTTGTAACCACAAATGGATTTATGGGTAGTTAAGCTAATATTACCACAGTATCTGTCTATTTCTCTCCAATCACCATTCTTACCAGTGTCTGCCCCATTTAATCATTACCCAACCTGAATCTTTGGGTTAGTCCTATATTCTTTCCTATAGATCTGTTAAATAAGCCTTGTTTAACCTTACTGAACTAAGGAGCAGTGGGGAGTGCAGGGAAGAATGAGGCTAATTTTCACTTATCAAAGTAATTTGAAAGTTTTAAAAGACATTACATCTGGCGATCTCCCAACACAAAAATAAATTCACAAAACAAATTCTTTATACAAATTAATCACTTTTCTGAAGTGGTAGAAATTCAAAATCTAAACATCCTGATGGATGTTGGAGAGGATGTGAGTGACATGATTTATTCCAGTACTTTCAAAAAGAAACACAATTAAATATCCTTGAGTGTTGTAAATTGGTTCTGGCTATAAACTCCTTAGAGAGAAAGGATGCCACAATTCTCATTTTAATTCTGAACAACTTTTTCATATGATATAAAGGCTGCAGGTTTCCTTCTCTTCAGTTTCCATCTTCTTTGTAAATACCATATATATATAAAATATAATATAAATAAAGAGTGCTATAGATTATAGACTCTTTATATAATAGAATAAAGAGTGCTATATATATATATATATATATAATCTGAAAACCATTATTAGTTAACTCATTCATCACACTGATTTCAAGGTAAATAAACCCTATATCATTTTAATAGAAGATCACTTTTTGTTAAGACCTTATAGCTCTTACCTCCAGGGCTTCTTGGAAAAGCTATTCAAATTCTATTTTGCCTTCAGTGAAAATAGAATTAAAATACTAAATATGTAATTAATTAGAAAGTAATCAGCAGCTGTCTTACCCATTTATAATATTTCTAGTTTCTAGACAATCGATAAGATGTGCTGGCTTAATTCTTAATTGTCTGGATCCTAGGAAAAATAATTATCCTAGTGTTTTTTAATGGAGATTTTTTCTTTATTGTGAAATGGGTACAACAAATAAAACCACTTTCTGTGGGCCAAAAGTTAAAACCCACGATGCAAAAAAAAAGTTAACGCAATCTGGGCTACAGCAGAAGCCAGAGAATACATTCATATAATTGAAAAGTTCTAAGCACTTCATAATTGACCTTTTGATACATAATTTCTAATAAATTTGGAATTTGTAGTTCCTGGTGTTGAAGTCCGCAGGACAAGCTATCCCAGTGTTTTTACTGGGTCCCCATTTTCTATTTAGACACTACCTTTGCATTTTCTCACCAGTCATTTTGGGCTGCCGAAGGGTAAGTGAAGTGTGAGAAATTATCAATGTGCCTTAATGAAAACTTGTAATTGTTTTATTAATATGTATTATCTTCCCACTTTTGGAAATGAAGTATAAATTTAAACCACAGTGGCTTTTATTTGTATCAGTACATACTAGTCCTCACTTAACTGTAGTTTTCTTGATAATCATATTAGTCATCAACTTTCCATTTCCAGAACTGATACAGGTTTCAGAACATGCTTAACATTACAAATAATGTAGATATTGTACAAGTTAGAACAGATTAAATACTATTAAATGTACTTAAAATAATAACATGATTGTAAGTAGTGATAAATAGAATCACTGTAATGAATCAGGATCAATTTACAACTAAATCTTTGTTCCTCCATTTTAGTTAAGAAAATATAAATAGGTGAAAAATGGGCAAACATGTAATCTGATCCACAGTCAATCAGGGATGTTTTTATATACCTCATTGAGGCGAGGTTATCATAGCTTTAATCTACAGCCATCTGATCTTTACCCACTCATGGTCAGGGACCCCTTTGACAATCTGATAAATCTAGATAGATGCCCTTTCCCAGAGAAAACCTCATCAACTCATACACTCAAAAATTTATATCAGGCTTCAGAGGGTTCAAAGACCAGGTAAGAAACTCTGCTTCCATGTAAGAGGACATTATGTTCCAGCTAAATCACTGTCTGTCTTTAGTTGGTTTACATTAGCTTTCATCTAATTTCTCTGAGGAACAGAGTCACGTTACCTAAAGCTTGTCAGAAACTGAACTTGGGCTATTCATCCTGTTCCTAATATAATCAAACCAGAATGAGAAATAAACTGTTTCCTTCCCTTAAGCCTGTCCAGTGTTGGCTCAGACTGTTCTGCCTCACAAGTGCATACTTAATTGATATAAAATATGCAGCTTACTGTTAACCGCACTTAAAGGATAGTTGGGTGTTTAAGACCAGTATTAAAAGCAGGAAGTGATAACACTGGTGCCTTTACCTGCCTTCTCTGTCAACAAACCTTCTCACTGCGGAAACTGTTTAGAGTAGCACCTATTATTCCTACAGATCCTTCACAGATCTTTCCGCTGTTTTTGTTTACATTCAGTATTTTATACAGGCCATACTGAATTTCAAAAAACATAGTAGTTTCACTATACCATATGTCTAAGTCTATAGTTAAGATGATGAAAAATATCCCAAAATATCTTATCACAACAGTCTGATTTTTACCCCTTTGTGGTTACAGATCCCTTTGAAATTATATATAATATAATATAACATATAATGTTGGCATTTTTTTGTCCAGATAATCAATGTATCTAAGTTATTTGCTAGCTATATGTTAAATACCTTTGGAAGCAATAATTAACCCTTCACAGACCATTAAGGTGCTAGTGAAAAGTTAAACAGTATGGTATTTAGATGGTTCAACTGACTTACCTACGGTAAATGGGCTGTTTTTAGTCTTGAGGGCAATCCATCACTGGGAGGTATCCACAAGGGAGGAAGAGACCCCCACACAATTAGATGCCCCTTGAGCAGAGATCAGCAAACTTTTCCCGAAAAGAAACAGATTAGAAATATTTTAGGCTTTGTGAGCCATGTAGTCTCTGTTGCAACTACCCAAATCTGTTCTTTTAGGCCAAAGCAGCCATAGACAATATGTAAATGAATGAGTGTGTCTGTATTCCTGTAAACCCATTTATAAGAACAAATGGTTATTTTAGGCATTGTCCTTTCTATAATTCACTGTGGGTATCTGCCACTGCTTGAGAAAGCTGCTGAGAATCAACACTGCAATATATTGTGGAAATATGCTTTGGGGGCACAAAGTATATGATAAATGATGAAAGAAACTGAGTTCTGTGGTCAGATCATTTCCCATCAGGATAGAGACTGAGGCAGGATTGGAAGATATGCAAATTATATTCTTAGAAATACTTCTGTAAGGGAAAATGTCATTAGGAGTTTAGAATAAATTACTATATGCCCTGAACTTTAGTTGTGTAACTCCCTCAGTGAATTCACTTACAAAACATTTTATCTCCTCTTTGTTTTCAGTGGCTTATGAAAGGAGTGCAATGCAGAATTATGAAAGAAGACGTTAATAAACTACCTGACGTTATTTATTCAGCTTCATTTGTGTCAATGGGCAAGGAAAGGTAAAATAAGACATGCACTATGAGGAATAATTATTTATTTAATAACAGTTGTTTGGGGTTGAAATTTCAAAAAGTGTTTATTTTTCATATTGTGCTAATATGTGTTGTAAACATGTTTTAATTCCAATATGACTCCCTTAAAATAGAAATAAGTGGTTATTTCTCAACAAAGCACAGTGTTCAATGAAATTGTAAAACCTGTCAATGATACGGTCCCTAAAGAAAAAAATCATTGCTTTGAAGCAGTCGTGTCAGCTACTGCGGAAACGGCGGGAAACTCCTGACAGTCTTGTGCTTTTCCTATTTGTTTCCATGGTGAAAATGTACTGAGATTTTGGTATTACACTATATTTGTATCTCTGAAGCATGTTTCATGTTTTGTGACTATATAGAGATGTTTTTAAAAGTTTTAATGTGATTCTAAAGTCTTCATTTCATTGTACGATGTGTTGTGATAGTTAACATTTTAAATAAAAGAAAAAATATCTTGAAGATTTTTGTCACATTCTTTTATTAACATTTGTGTCCAATTAGCAATCTTTCCTTTAATAGGTGAAATATGTTCAAAGCAATTTTGTCTAAAATGCAGTTTCTTTCTCTGTCATGCACTTTTTTTTTTTTTTTTTGCTAAATCATTTGTCATGAGATCATTTATGAAGAACACAACTGCATTTTGGATTCCAAAGAGTAAAGGCTAAGTTCTGGTTTTATATGCTTTTGATTCCTTTTTACAAATAGGATAATAATCTATTTCAAAGATATATTTCACTGATTGTTTTCTTATTGAGTAAAACATCAGCTCACTACCATTTCAGCCCTGCTCAGAGCCCAGGTATAAATGCATCAGTGGCTGAGTCTCACTAGACTAAAGATAGCAAATCAAATTCTCACAAAGACTGTCGGAAGATGATACAGAAAGATGAGGTGTTGATAATAGGGCAACACCCTCACAGCAAAAATAACTCCTTTCCAGCATTTCTAAGAAGTGCCTGTGAATTGCTAATACCTATAACACTCTGTCTGACAGAAGCACATGTATCAGGAATAAATATCGAGCATTGAGAGGGAGGCTTGTGCATTTTGATTGATAGATGTCCTTGGAATCATTTTCTGATTGCACAGAATATGTGAAGTATTGACCAGCAGTAAAACAATGCAGACAAGCACTGTTCAGTGAAGTAAAAAACATGAATGTAGCCTGGACTGGTGACTGTTGGTGAGCAATACAACCATTTGAAGGAGAGAAGAACTAAAGCATATTTTAACATTTATGTTTTCAATTAAATATTTTTTTAAAAAACTCCAACTCATATTCCTTAGTACACAATACATCTAAATATGAAAAATTATATAATGGTAAGCAAAATGGAGAAAACCAGAGTCATCCCCTAGAGCCCCACTCCCCAACAGCAATGTTTAACATTCCATTGAATAATAATTATAATAAATAATCATTAGCTAAAATTATGTATATACTTAATCAATGATCGAAATATTTTCGTCATTATTATCATTTTACAGATGGGGTTATGAAGCTTAACGAAATGCTGGGGTCAGAGATTATAATATAATAGGAGTCAGAATTGGAAATAAACTGAGGGGGAAATAGAGCAAATCACTATCTAACAATGAAATTGATTAAGCAAACATATACTAAAACAACAGAATATACAGTCATTTAAAGTGGCATCATGGTGTATTTAACAATGTGGAACAACATATATGGTATGTTGTTAGACATAAAGCAGTATTTGTTATATTTATTTACATATATATATAGCTTGTCTGCATAGCTGTTGTAACAAGAGGAACAATTTTAGTGGATAAGCACATGGGACGCGGTATCATACCACTCAGGTTTGAATCTTGGCTCTATCATGTTACGAATGGCCTTGTAAAGATGGGCGAGTCCCTTAACTTTTCTTTGCCTTATTTTCCTCATCCATAAAATTAGAATAACACTAGTACTTACTACATGGCATTCAGCTGATGCATTGTAAAGCTTTGAACACTATCTCTCACACACAGCAAACATCCAGTGAATGTTACCTGTTCCCATTGGAAGCTGCTGTTCAAAATGCCAGTGTGAAAATTAGTTCTATATTTTAACCATAAAACATTTTTATAGGCACTAAACACACTGAACAAGCAACAGCATGGGGTGGTATTTAAATCTTTGCCTCACAAATTAAATCCAGGCTATATCACAAATTCGCGGTGCTTTGTGCTGTTCATTGCCGCACTAGGTAGTCCCCATGGCCCCTTCCCACTCTGAAATTCTATAAATCCCTGTGGTATGATCCCACAGTGCTGCATCAAGACATGCACTGGCGAACCTTCACTCATGCCTGCTTTCCCTCTAGGCCCAGAAACCCAGCGGCAACACAAATAGGAAAAGGGACAGAAACTTCAGTTTAAATTTCTGCTCAAAACATTTATTATTACTTTCTCTTTGTGCCATATTTTCTTTAGTTAAAGTAAGTTTTCTTCACCTATATTCTTTCTTAAGTATTTTATTCTGTTATGAAACAGCAAAAAGACCAAACTACCTAAAGTTACCTATATACGTTACTGCTTTGGTTTTTGTTTGTTTTGTTTTTGTTTCCGTATTGGTCTGGGCCCAGGGTAAAAATAAATGATTTTCAAGTTAATTTGAGAAGGGGTTAATAAAGGGACTAGTTACAAAGTTACGGGCAGCATATAGAGAAGCTGGTAATGGTATATGGTTCGACATGCTATGTCCTTGGGAGTAACAGCTACCCCTACGCCAAAAGGATCAACTTGAGGAAATGAGAGTCCTTGTATGCAAAAGGCTGCTTGATGGCAGTGGTCTTCAGTAAAAGAGTGGAGCCAAAACAAGGTGTTCAAGTATGGGTGGGAGGAGGAGAGTGGGGTGGCCAGGGAATAAATATCCCATCCTCATTGCCACCCAGCTGTCTGATCTCCTGTTGGTACCTCCCACTGGGCAAACCCAACTGGAAAACAGAAGAGTAGGAGCCCTTGAATGCTGTCTACAGAGGTAAGCAGCACATACAGGGCTCTTGCGCATATGGAGAAAGCTGGCAGGTGCATTGGTGGGGTGGGGCAGGGGAGGAAGAAGCAAGATATTCAACATGTGTGCCCTGTTGTCTTGAATCGAAGAGAAATTAATAAGCAGAAATCCAAATAAAGGAAAGCATACAGTAACAAGAAAAGTCCTTCTCTATATCCCCAGGGATATAGTTTCACATGAATCCATCCAGACAGACAAAAATAAGAGTATCTTGTCTCAATTTGAGCATGTGCTGAAATCTCTTCTTCTAACACAAAATAATTATGAATGATTTTTAAGGAAGTTAGTATGTTGGGATTTGTGCAAAACACAGGAAAGATTTTTGTTATATCAGAAATTAAGTAAATCCCCAGAAAAGAAGCAGAACGGAAGCCGCAACAGTAAGTCATAGTCCTAGCAGGAAATTGCAGAGGCTACGGGGGAAGGTGCCAACCCCAGAATAAGGAATTGACCACTGCAGACAACAGACTTGCTAGCAATACTGGATGAGTATTGCAGCCATGAGATAAAGGGACAAAATATTCAAAACTCTTAAGGAAAACAGTGTTTAACCAAACTATCACTTAACAGTGAGGATGAATTTGTGGAAGAAGAAAAGCCAACTAAGAGCTGTTAGCTTAAGCCTTATTAAAACCATTGCAACATGAGAATAGCTCAAAATAGCTGTTCTGCTGAAGAGCAGGTAGTCTAAGGAATTTATATGTTAGATGAGCCAGGTGCAGCAGCTCATGCCTATAATCCCAGTGCTTCGGGAGGCTGAGACAGGAGGATTGCTTGAGGCCAAGAGTTTAAAACCAGCCTGATCTTAGAAAAGCAGGACCCCATTTCTACAAAAAACATAAATGAAACATTAGCTGGGCATGGTGGCACATGCCTGTAGTCCTAGCTATTCAGGGAGCGAGGTGGGAGAATAATTTGAGCCCAGGAGTTTGAGGTTAAGGTGAGCTGTGGTTGTGCTACCATATTTGAGCCTGGGTAACAGAGCAAGACCCTGTTTCTGAAAACAAATGAACAACAACAACAACAATACATATGAATTTACATGTTAGGTTGATGAAGGTCAGTCAATATTTCACTATATCCTGAAAATTGTCCGCTGTTCCAATTCAGAGAAGGTATGGGGCTGTATTAATAATGAAACAGGATTCAGGTCCTGCAAGACTGAAGATAAGGTTCTACCAGCTGTTATCCAATTTGGGTCTGGCAGGAAAAGTAAGGAGAAAGAGGTGCTGGCCCAGATCTTACTAGGGTCAGTGAAATAAATTCAGTCATTCACCTTCTTTCAGTAATTAAGGGCATTTTCACACATCTAAAACCTCAGAAAGTTTATGCCCACCTTCTTTGAAAAAATTACTAAGGACATATTTCAGCAAGAAAAAAACTAAATCTGGGAGGAAATAATTATAAGAAATATGGTGAGCAAAGTAATTATTTTAAAAATATTGCTAAATTGAAGGGTTATGTATATGTATGTGTGTTAAATAAACAATATAGAAGTAAAATCTGATAAGATGTCAACATGGGAGTTAGCTAGGGGAGAAGGAAGGACAGTATAAAAGGAAATGAATACATGCTAAATTTATTGTGTTACTGAGGAGGCTAGGACATATCCTAGACTTTTTTTTCAAAGAATGTGTAAGTTTCTGTGAGTGAGTTAAAAATATACACAGGTTAAAACTAAAAGAATAGATGAGTAAGTAACTATCAAAACAGAAGAAGGAAAATGTTGCAAAGCACAATCTAATCAACAGAAGGAAAGAAAGTTTTTAAAAATCTTGGTTAAAAAAACTAACTAGGCCGGGCACTGTGGCTCATGCCTGTAATCCCAGCACTTTGGGAGGCCGAGGTGGGCGGATCACCTGAGGTCAGGAGTTCAAGACCAGCCTGGCCAACATGGTGAAACCCCGTCTCTAGTAAAAATACAAAATTAGCCGGGGTGTGGTGGTGGGTGCCTGTACTTCCAGCTACTTCGGAGGCTGAGACAGGAGAATTGCTTGAACCCGGGAGGCAGAGGTTGCAGTGAGCTGAGATCATGCCACTGCACTCTAGCCTGGGCAGAAAGAGCAAAACTCCATTTCAAAAAAGCAAACAAACAAACAAAACAAAACCTAACTAAACATTAATATTTGCATAAATATGAGTAGCTTTATTAGACCTACTAAAAGACAGAGATTTCAGGTTGCTAAAAAGATTAAAAAATGTAGCTATTTATTATTTACCAAAAGACAAACCTGAAAAAAAATAGAAAAGTGTTAAAAAATAAAGGGATATTTTAAAAATCTGCCAAATACTAACATAATGATTATATAGCAATTTTATTGTCATATGAGTCAGTAAAAAATTTTCCTGGTAAAAGTTCCAGGAAATCAAAAATGATTATGAATATCGATAAAAGGAATAATCTACTAAGAACACATAACAGCTTCAAACCTTTATGAAT